AGGTCGTGACGGCCAAGCCCACGCCCGAGCCCTCGGCCGAGCCCACGCCCAACCCCTCGGCCGAGCCCACGGCCAAGCCCACGGACCTGCCCACGGGCCTGCCCACGGCCAATTCCACGGCCAATTCCACGGACCTGCCCACGGCCAAGCCCACGGACCTGCCCACGGGCCTGCCCACGGCCAATTCCACGGGGAACAGTACCAACAGTACCTCGGCTCCCACGACCAGCCCGACGGCCGCCCCCACGGGCGCGCCCACCGCGGCGGGAAACAGTACCAACAGTACCTCGGCTCCCACGACCAGCCCGACGGCCGCCCCCACGGGCGCGCCCACCGCGGCGGGAACCTCGGCTCCCACGACCAGCCCGACGGCCGCCCCCACCGCGGCGGGAACCTCGGCTCCCACGACCAGCCCGACGGCCGCCCCCACGGGCGCGCCCACCGCGGCGGGAACCTCGGCTCCCACGACCAGCCCGACGGCCGCCCCCACGGGCGCGCCGACCTCGGCTCCCACGACCAGCCCGACGGCCGCCCCCACGGGCGCGCCCACCGCGGCGGGAACCTCGGCTCCCACGACCAGCCCGACGGCCGCCCCCACGGGCGCGCCGACCTCGGCTCCCACGACCAGCCCGACGGCCGCCCCCACGGGCGCGCCGACCTCGGCTCCCACGACCAGCCCGACGGCCGCCCCCACGACCAGCCCGACGCCCGCGCCGTCGGTCTCTCCGACGCCCGCGGTGTGGGTTCAGCGCGGCGACGACATCGACGGCGAGGCCGCGGACGACTCTCGGGCAGGTCGGTATCGCTGAGCGCGGACGGCGCGACGCTGGCCGTCGGGGCGTCCGGGAACGACGGCGCCGGCTCCTACGCGGGCCACGCGCGCGTGTTCGCGTGGGACCCCGTCGACGAGACGTGGAAGCAGCGCGGCGACGACATCGACGGCGAGGCCGCGGACGACCGGTCGGGCTACTCGGTGTCGCTGAGCGCGGACGGCACGACGCTGGCCGTCGGGGCGCGCTACAACGACGGCGCCGGCTCCAAGGCGGGCCACGCGCGCGTGTTCGCGTGGGACCCCGTCGACGAGACGTGGGTTCAGCGCGGCGACGACATCGACGGCGAGGCCGCGTACGACGAGTCGGGCTACTCGGTGTCGCTGAGCGCGGACGGCACGGCGCTGGCCGTCGGGGCGCCCAGGAACGGCGGCGCCGGCTTCAACGCGGGCCACGCGCGCGTGTTCGCGTGGGACTCCGTCGACGAGACGTGGAAGCAGCGCGGCGACGACATCGACGGCGAGGCCGCGGGCGACGAGTCGGGCTACTCGGTGTCGCTGAGCGCGGACGGCACGACGCTGGCCGTCGGGGCGCCCTACAACGGCGGCGCCGGCTTCAACGCGGGCCACGCGCGCGTGTTCGCGTGGGACTCCGTCGACGAGACGTGGAAGCAGCGCGGCGACGACATCGACGCCGAGGCCGCGGGCGACGAGTCGGGCTACTCGGTGTCGCTGAGCGCGGACGGCGCGACGCTGGCCGTCGGGGCGTACACGAACGACGGCGCCGGCTCCAACGCGGGCCACGCGCGCGTGTTCGCGTGGGACTCCGACGAGAACGAGTGAAGCAGCGCGGCGAGGACATCG